AGCTCCACTCCAGCATGGCCATTATTGAAGACCATTCTGGAAGTGGCTAAGTTGACTAGGTGTGTTTTGCATGGGTGCCAAAAAGAGATTAAATGCAAAAAGGAGAGACCAAAAAAATCACTGTGTTATGTGATTAATTCAACATATTTGTTTAATCTTTAAAGATCTCACACTAGGCACTGACCCCAGGTACTAGGTAGGGCAGGATCCAATAGATACAACAATAAACAAAACAGATAAAAATCTGTGCCCTCGGGGAGCTTATATTTTAATGCATAGAGGGAAAACAGTAATAAATAAAACAAATAAGTAAAGTATATTGTATGTTAGGTGGTAAAGACCTGTGGGAATAAGTTAGGGAGAGAAGGGGTACCAGAGTTTTTTTTTTTTTAGGGGAGGGTAAGGATGAAATATGGAACAGGATAGTTAGTGACGGCCCCCCTAAGAAGGTAACATTTGAGTAAAGACTTAAAATTATTGATGGATTAAGCTATGGAAATACTGGAGAAAGAAAACAGCAAAATATTATGAGGTGGATGAATGGCATTTTCTAGGAACAAAAAGGAGACCAATATGGCTGGAGAGATTAAAAAAAAAAAAGAGGAAAGTAGTGAGAGATAATATCATAGAGGTAATTGGAGGAGAAAATCTAGCAGATACTGGGCCATTGTAAGAATCGTGTCGAGCAATTTTGAATAGGATAAATGGATTCTGGAGTTCTAAGGGACATTTAAAAATCTTAAAATATAACATATCATATTCCTATTAGTTTAACCTTTCTTTTGAGGATGGTGCTTCTGCAAATGACCTCTCAGATATTCTTGGCCCCACCATAGCAACCTTTCCTCCTTGAAGACTAGAGAAATTGACTATACACTTTTCTGAGAGTGAAGAGATACTAATAGTTTCAGGGGATATATTGAAGGCAGTCTTTGTGCCATTCAGAAAGGCTATACTGAGAACAATGTGAAAATTTGAAAAAATCTTTTCCAAAGCTTGAACAGAGAGTAACATACTGAAGTCAGTTTCTGTGTTTTCTTAGAAAATCATTCACTAGGAAAAAGAATGCTTTCACATGAGAATTTTAAAAAATTCCCAAGAAATTTACTCCTTTGCAACTACAATACTACTCTATAAATAATATCATCTCCTTACATGAAATATGCTTCTTCATGCAAAGGAAGAGAAGAAATACTGAAGAAAATAAGCTATTTGTTGATCTTCCACATAATTATCTTTTTACCATTCATATTATTGGGGTAGCTTTTAATTGCCTTCTTGACTATTACTGAAGTAGTCTTTTCAACTGGAGATTATTAAATTAATTCACAGAAGGAGTAAAGAATAAGGGTAGTTAGGTAAAAAGGATTTGGAACCACTAACTCAATGGTAGCCTAACCTATTAGAATGAGTACATGATTTTATATAGTATGCAGTCACAGGTCTGGAAGCCTGGGTATTTATTCTGACTATGTTGTTAACTGGCACTTTTACTATTCTGGATCGTAGTTTTATCACCTATAAAATAAGCAGTTGAATGGACAATAACTATAACTTTCTTACTAAGGAGATCTATGAAAATCAGCTGCCGTGGATAGAATGGAGTCCAGCTTCCAAGATCCATCCATGCTCAGAAGAAATTCCTTAGGGTTACCTTACCCAGAGATGTCAATTCCACAGCATTGTACCTCACTCCTCCTTTTTTGTCTCCCATAGCCATTCCAAACAGACCACAGTACTTCTCCTTATTGGATCAGAACTTAGGGTCAGAGTCATTTTTCCCCCACAGTGTCTTAGGCAATCATAACCAAATTATTAGAGATGACACTCAAGTTGAAAACAATTTGATACCTTATCATTAGGGAAATGGCTATACTGAAGGCAACAGTTCCTAGTATAGCTAAGAAGAGCACTCACTTTCCATCAGCCAATCTCTCCCATCCTAAAGCATTCTAGCATGCCATCAGTTCATCAGCATAAAGCAGCTGCTGGTATGCTGGGCATAACTGAAACCGATCAGTTAGCTTTTCAGTCAAAGAGGTCTGAATGTATAGAATTCATTTCCCCTCTTTATGAAGTCTGCCTCTGTCCTGAGAGAAGAGCCTTCTGTAAAAGTAAGAAACTAAGATATTCAACAAGTAGACAAATCAGTGACTTCTTAATTTTTGTCCTCCCGCACACTCATTTTTTATTGCCCAAATCTATAAGAGTTTACATCAAGAAAACTGTGGGTTTTTTTTTCAGTTCTGATGGAAAGCCCTAACAATGTTGTTAGACAACTGTGATGAATTTTAATCTAATAACAGCTTGTGACCCACAAATTACTGTTTAAAATTAAAATCCATTTAAAATGAAACTGGCAAGACAATCACAATATTAAACTTGCAATCTGCTGTGATAAAACACCTATCTAAAGCACTATATTAAATGT